AATATTATACAGGATATTAAATTAAATTTTAAATAATTAATTACATCATTAATTTTTTTAGTAAAATCTATACTAAAAAATTTAAAAAGTTTAGTTTAAAAAAACAAGTTTTTTATTCAAGAACAACCTTTATAACTTTAAATTTTATAAAAGACATTATAAATAGTAAATTATTAGTGAAAAACTAAAGAATAATTTACAAACGAAATATTATGTTAAAAACTTTACAAGTTTCAAAAAAATTCGCTTAATATTTTAATATATTTGTAATATATTTATAATCTTTGTAATATAATGTAAAAAAGAATAAAATAATTTGAAAAAGATTTGCTTTTGTAGTCATTTCAAAAAATGAAAAACATTGTTAAGAAAAAAACTTGTAAATCCCGAACAAAGAGAAATAATTGTTCAAAAATTTTTATTGATATATCTAAAAAACTCTGTCGCATTAAAATAAACTATAAAACTGTTTGGAAAATTGCATTTATTTTTAGATCATATGAGGTTTATATTAAACTTTTAAAACAAGTCAGGTGCTCAAAATTTGTATTTTAATAAAAAGAAGGAATTATTGTTTTAAAGGTTTACTAATCGTAGTAGCTAATTCATTTGATATCAACGCTTTTCAAGTAAATCAATCACTATTTTTGAGAATTTCATTATTTCATTTAATGAATTACAAAAATATCTTATATTAAAAATTATGAAGGTATACTTGAATATAAATTTAGTTATGAAGTAACTCAGAGAAGTAAAGAAACAATGTGAGTAAAAAGAATTGTGTTACTAGATGAGTTTTGTTTGCTGTAAATGCGGTGAATTTAAAATGTAAATAAATACGTATTTGCTATTTAACTTTCTTTATATTAATAACAAAATTTTTTTTGTTATTACAGTTTTAAAAAAATAGGATGGTTTGTATTATAAAATTAACAAAAGAGCAAGTTACGCTAAAATTATTAACCTATATTCAAGAATTCAAAACAAAATGTAAAGTTGATCATATTGGTATCATATTTTATTCCAAATAATATTTGAATTTATCACTATTTAAGTTTGATTTAAATAATAAATAGTTTGAGATATGAATTAATTTTTGCTCTTTTAATGACTAATTCTCAAATCAATTAAGAATTGTTTTTCTTTTTAAAAAGCCATTTTTTATAGAATGCTTTAACATTTAAATATTTCTTAACAACTTTAACCGATATTAGATTAAAAAAAAATTATTATAAAATTATAATAGTTTTTACAGATAGATTTTAATATATATTAATCACTATAATAAATGAAAAT